CAAAAACAGTAGTTAAAACCAAATACCTCGATATCAGTATTGCAATTACATTGTAAGGTTAACTATTGGTGCTTCACAATGAGATTTTTCAGAAATAATCATCAGTAATGTGGATACAATGACTAAGGTGGTAAATGTAAATAATAGAACATCTGTAACAGTCTGGTAGGTTCATGAAAATTCATCACTTTACTGTAATGCAGCCTTTAAAACCAGGAAAAGACCACACGTACAATATTATGATATCCAAAACCTAAGATAATATCTAGTCTCATATTACGACGATATTGATTGTTATATTACTCAGCTGTATTCTCAATAAACTTGGCAAGAAAGCGAATAAGCTTATTTCCAAAAATATCAAACTAGTCCTTTAGGTTTCAAGTTCAGAGTCTTATTAGCTGCAGATTTTTGAACCTGACGAGTCAGAAACTGGGGACTAATGGGTTAAATGACATATGGTTATGTAGCTTGAGAAGGAAGCTGTGAATAAAACGGGGGCGACCTCTGAACAGTCTGACCTGAGTGACATTGATTAGAATTAGAATGTGAAGTGTGCACGGTGGCATGGACGGGGGTGACAGGCAAACCTAATGCATGGCTGGAGGGGGCTCACACTGCTGCCATCGATTGAAAGAGGGGACGTGGTGGCACTATTGCAATGCTAAATGTGTAAATGGGCGCTCTCATCGCATCACAAGCTCACTTTTGTTTAGCTGGACTCTCAGTTTAAGTGAAATTCAAATGCAGTTCTTCTACGTGGCTTTCTCTACCTCAATAACCCCATCCTGGTGACTTGTTGCTTCTAATTTTGGTCAAGGCTCCTACTACTTTACTCTCCTAAAGTAATAGGTCCTGAGGACACGGCTCGCCTCTTGTCCCTGCTCACTTTGATGCTTTTTGGCTGATCGTCCTTAATTAGCGTAAAATTCAAAGCAGACGTATGCAGGACTCGGCTTTACCACTTCACGTGAACGGTCAGACATAAATAGGTCAGAATTAATGGTCAGCTGTATGTCTCAAGTGTTCATGGCCTTGTGGGCTGCTTTGCGTTTTGTGTTGACATGGGTGGGCTTGTGCACATGAAGGATAGCTGGAGGCTGATGGGGGTGGGGTGAATGGCATGCGTTGGGTTTTAGACAGGGAGGAGGGGTGTCGAGCAGAGGAGCTGTTCATTGGCCCTGTGCTGCAAAAAAAATGCTTATGGCTTTGCTGCATGACTGGGCATTTGTGACAGCTATAGTCCTGCCTGCCACATCTGCCAGGGACACTGTGCTCTCAGCCAGTCAGCTTATAATCAATCACTTGCGACTGATAACTAAAGAGGCAGCTTCAAGTCCATCTGACTTACATTTGTTTTTCTTGAGACCTGCAGTTATAAAAGCGCCTGTGTGCTTTGGCCGGAGGTGGTACCACAAGGTCTGCCATAAAATGAAGCAAAAGAGAGGAGAAATTTGAGCTGTTGCAGACATCTCACATTTAGTACTACTCATCAGTAAGCACGTATTCAAGCTTGTAAAGGGCGGGCAATAATCATCAAGCTTCTGTTGAATCTAGGACATTCTATCAACAAAAGTACCAAACTGTCCATTTTCAGGAAGAAACAGCTGCAGGCGGTGCAGGAGAGAGCCGCTGCCAAATGTGTTTTAAAGGACATATTACCTGTTGGTTAATGACTTTCTATGTTGAACTGTCCTTTTAGTGAAAGTAGGTTTTTGGGTCAATTTATGTAACAGGTTCCTGACAGAGATAGACTTCACCCTGCTGGCCTGTTTGTTGCTAGGGAGCCATGGACAGTCTGTGACAGAGGACGTTATTGCCCAAGTGAAAAAAGCTGTCCGCTATACTATTGTTATGTTTTGCCTTTCAGACAGGCTCCGCCCATGACTGGCTACAGGTCATCATCCCTGACCTGGGAGGTACAATGTAGCCTCTGTGATTGGCCCAAGTGGGAGATTATTTAGGTCCATTTTTTTATGTGGAAAAAAAGACACTCAAGATAACTCTAATCAGTTTTAATAAAAGAAGCTGCTTTGTTGATTTGCTTTATCCAGTATTTTTTTTTCCCACTTTGATATTGCATTGAATCAGATCAGGCTACATCTGGGAGAGATAAAACATGCTTACTTCATAACACACCGTCCAAGTTAGCAGTGCTAGCAGAGACAGTACACTTAAGCATGTGAGAGTGCACTAGAGCACTGGGAGAGTCCTGACCCCACTATGTCAAGAGGCCTTCTTGACTTTATGAGAGGTCTATATCTTAGCAATTTCTGTGAAGAAAACTAAAAGAAATTGCATTTTTAAAGTTTAGTTAATTGCTCAAATTATAAACATCGCTCAAGACTGCATAAGGGCACAGCAAAGATCTGAACACAACCTACTGTATATAATAGAGCCTTCACTCTTTCCTAAAGAGCCTTGTCTTGCATTAAAAATAGTATGTCGTTAAAACTTCCAAAAAGCTAATAGCGCAACGGCCAAGCATAGGGGAAATTAAATTCACAGGTCATCTGTTCCAAATTCATCCAAATTGCTTGTTTTACACAAACGTTTTGCAGTTTTTGCATTCATTAACTGGGTTTATTGTAAAGCCTATCATTTGTTCTGTACTGTAATTATTCTGCATTGAATACACCAATAAATCCATCAAGTATGTCACTTAGTTAACGGTCATCAGTCTACTCAATGATAGAATAGGGGCTGCTTTAAGAAAAGGGTTGTGACCCACTGCTGCAGGACACTGTAAAAGCAATATTTGAAAAATCTTTATTTTAGGATCTTGAATTTAAGACAAACACTCAGTACGTCACTTTAAAAACAAGTCCTTGGACTTCAACATTACTAGTAAAAATATAATACATATCAGCAATAGAGTGTGCCAGTAAACCCGGAACTCCGTTAGCGCTTTTAGCACTTCGGGTTCTTTCGTCTAAAAGTCAATACGTTTTTTGAATGGGATTTTGGTAAAATGCCTCAAATAAGGTCTGTGGTTAACAAAAGCTTAAGCAAGTTTCAGGTTTTGTTCTACGACATAAAACACGTCAGTAAATACCCTACTTGTGAATTTTGAAGCTTTTACGTGTTGTAAAAAAGGCGGTTGCTAACAAGTTGCTCAATACGACAACAAACCCTGTCGGGGACATTAAACGTCATCACCCCCGAACAGGCGAGAGTGCTGGCAGTCCGCCATTACAGCTTCTTATTTAGCTTAAACAGTCCGATTTCCCCATTATACAATGTTTTTAAAATAAAGCGGCTGAAATCAGTTGAAAGCTTAGTGGCGGTGACATCAAGAGTCATGTGACCGTGGAGTAGTCATGTAGTCCGTTAAAGCCTAACATTAGCTTTTTACTTCTGGCGATCGCATTTAAGCTTCAAATGCGGTATGAAAGGTGTTCATATGTGAAGATTATCTTGCTGAACAAAACCTGTAAGTATCATAAACTTGTGTTAGCCACGGAGCTTATGTTCTGACATAATCCAAAACGCAATGCAAAAATCACATTCACTTTCTCTTCCGGGAACCAGCCAAGACTATTCAAGAGAAGGCTGAGACACGGGGTCAAACATGGGGGGATTGCACATGCGCAGTAAAATCTGGTCTGCACTTCCTCAAAGGCTCCGTAGATGGCGTGAGACCGCGGAATAAAGGGGATGTGCATGCATGTCATTTTCACAGCTTATTACTGTACTGTCACTGGTGGCCTGCGTTGTGGGTGAGAATGACAGAGATGCAATTCCGACAACTTCAGGCAGCCGCCATCCAAAAGTCCAAGCAGACCGCACCAAGCACACTCCTTGATCGCCTGAGCGGATCCTGCGCTTTTTATCTAGCGCCCCTGCTGTCACCCTCCAGCATCGCAGCTCAAGTTACACTGTGCATGTGCAATCCCCCCATGTTTGACCCCGTGTCTCAGCCTTCTCTTGAATAGCCTTGGAACCAGCGCAATGCTAAACTTCCGGGTTTTGACGTCAGCCCTGGCACACTCTATAGTGGGTATAGACTAATTCGGCAAGCGATTTGTGTATGCCGCCTACATCATACATAACCTACATCAACTTAGGGGTAGGGACAATTTTGCCATAGTGTTTGTATTTTTGTTCCTCACTCTGCAGGTGGCCTTGAATCCCATCGTGCTGAGCTCAAAAAACTTTTCGCATAAAATTAACAGTGTCTTGTATACATTGCCTTCTACCAGCCATGCTGCAAAATCTTGGTTAAATAGCCAGTTTTTTGTTAGAGCTGCACTTCCCCATGTTGTCCAGGGTACAGCGACAGCTAGCTAGCAGACAGTGGGTCCTCTGCTCTGAGCATGCCAAGTGGAAACAAAATTTGAGTGTTGTTGGGTCAACTATCCTGATCTGCGTGTTGTTAATGCCAGAGGCATTGGGTAAATTGTTGTTGTAAGTTGGCAATTATTTTGAGATTTTTGCAACCTTAGAAAAATAAAAAAAAAGAATAAAAACCCTAACTTTTGAAGGATTGATGTAAGGCATTACATAAATTAAATTGGAATAGATTCAGGACTTTAATGCTTTTAAAAACTTTTTATGGATCTGTGGGAGTGCAGTACCTTCATCAACTCTTTTATCCAGCTATATGTTGGTACACAGTCTCCGTTCTGCATAAGTTTCCTTTGTACAACCATACCGAAAAGACGAAACTAACGACACTTTCAATAAGTAAACCACGTCCGACATGCCAAAAGAGAATGTGTTAATATCCCGTCTGCCTTTTTACACCTGTTACAGAGGAGGGAAACTCTTACGCAGTCTGCCTTTGGAGTAATATAGTCGATGAGCTGTTTTATTACCAGATTGTGTACCAGTGTCTAGAGTTTACTGAACGTCTGCGAAAACAACACATGACTCAGCTTCTTGTAAACACAAGAGAAAGGACTGCTTGTCATCATAAAAGATATTTTACTCTTCTAAACAGTTTGTTTTATTTTTTGTTTTTAATGTCAGCGTTTGTTTGACTTTATTTGTCTTGACAGTACGTGAAGATCCCAGCACCAACCCCTGAATCTCCGGATGGATTCAGAGTCTTCTCATTCTACCTTTCCAGTGACAGCAAAGACAAGCCTCAGTCCAGCTTTGACTGCATTCACCAGTATGTCTCAGGGTAAGCAGCACACATAACTCTTTCCACAGTCAACCACAAATGGAATTTGTAGTAAATTTGGTGTCAGACGGAGACCGCAGGGCCTTACCAAACAGTGGCCTCTCTCTTCGGTACTACAACAACAGACAGCACCACTGTCAGGATATATTCAAACAAGACTACAATAACACCCACAACTAACCACAGAGGTGTGACCAGTAATAATTGAGAACAGAGAGGTAGTGTTTGTGGCTGTGCAGTGTCAAAGGTTTGGTTAAAGTGTTAGAAGTCTTCCAGCCTTTGTAACTGATTTATAACACACTATTTAGACTTTGCATGCAGGCACAAGTCACAGAACCAGTTACATGTGTCAGACAGCACCACAAGTTACTGTATGACAGCAAGAATCTCTAATGCTCCTGTTTGACAAATGGCCAGTTAATCGAGCCGAGCCAGAGAATAAGTCAGCTTGAACTCTCTGAAGTCTTCCCTCTCCTCCTTCCTCCTCCACACAGGGAGGGCAGGGATCACCTGGAGGGCCAGGGTAGCATTCAGGACAAGATCACAGTTTGTGCCACAGATGATTCCTACCAGACGACCCGGGAGCGCATGTCTCAGGTGGAGAAGGACATCTGGAGCCGCTCAGCAATTGAGATCAAGCCGGGGCCAAGTAAGCTTTTGCCTAATAGCTGTATCTACATTCTGGTGTATCTCCCAGCCTCAGATTTAAGTCACAGCCTTCAAGCACGTAGGGATCAAGGACAGATAAGCGGAGAGTTTTCATGTTCCCAGAAAGCTTCTAAACCATTGCTTCTTACCATTTCATCCTGCTGATAATTGCCATATGGTGTGGAAGTTATCACATAATTGATCAAAGCGCTGCGTTGCAATTATTCATGCGAGAGGGATGCCTCTCTGTCTTGTAATTTTCCTTTCATTTTGACCAGATTGCTCAGGCGCCGTGCCAGCTTGCCTGCCAGCACCATTAATGTGATTGAGTTTGCCAGAAGTATGCGCTAACAAGTCTCATGCTGATGAAGTTTTGCCTAAAAAGTAATTACACTGACTGGAATTTAATTCATTTTCATTTGATGAAATACCACTAAATATCATCTAAAGAAGAGGCTGTATGTGACCTGGAGTGATCTGGGTCTAACATGCAGGAACTTCTACTTGCAATTAATTTTCTTTATTTACTGCCTTCCCCTTGCCCGAGTTGTGGTTTTAGTCATTGTCGATTAAATTGACCATGCTACAACTTTATAAATGATCTACCCATGAGGCTTCATGACATTTAGAGGTCCTGTGTGAATTAAAATGCTTGTGTAGATTATATTTTATGGATGGAAACACGCTGTGTGGACCAGCACTACGACATGATGTTTAGGGTAATTGCTGTAGAAGCCAGCTGTTTGAACCGGTTCCTACACATTGCATGCCATGCTTTGCTGCTGAATTTTTTACAAAATAAATCTAATCTGGCACATGCATGCATCTATAAAATGAACAGACATGAGAGATCCTGGTTAGAAACATGCAGCTACAGGATATATAATTTTACTTGAACGTGTCTTTTCAAGCACGTAACTGTCACATTTTATCATGGACACCAGAGAGAGAATTAAATGGGTTATGGATCACAGTATGTGCCATAAGCAGTGGAGAGCACAAAGTCATTTTGTGGTGAGTGACTGTCTTTTTATGGTGCAGTAATACTATACTCATCAGAAAAAAATGTCCATATACCAGCTCACAATTACGGGTTGCAGAGAAGAAAAATGTCCACAATTTAGATAATAATGTATGATTTTAAAGTTCAGTTGCATTCAGGGAAAAGGAGGCACTGACAAATATGCAGCTGAACTTTGTGCTCACCGGGTGTTGAATAAGTTGGAAAAGTTTTTCTAAATAAATTAAATATTTTGTTTTGATCATGTTCATTTATTACAAATACTTTTGCTTAAGAGGTGGAAAACCTACAACAACCAGAATAAACGCTCCCACTGGTGGGTGACGTAATGCGAGCTCATCTGTTTTGACACAGGAAGCAAAATGGCAGCCAGTTGGTATAAAATGATCTTGCATTAGTCAAACAGTAAGTCAAAATGTGTTTCTGAAATCATTTGTGGCGGGAAACAGGCAATGCAGTAAAATAATCTTGGTTCATATTTGATCAGCACTGCTTAGTTTTATTGTTTTACATCAGTTTTTTCAGCCTTTGTTTTTACAGTACAGGAAACAGCATAATGCCCACTTCCTGTTCACAAATTCTTGTATTAGAGACAAACAGTGCACTAAAATATGTTTCTGAAGACTTTTTAGGCAAGAAATAGGCAATACAGTTACAGAAACTTGCACTGCCTAGTTTTACCATTTGCCTAAAATGTCTTCAGAAACATATTTTAGTGCACTGTTTGGCTGTAATAGGAGAGTGTGTGAACAGGAGGCAGGCACCATTCTGTTTTCTGTACTGTGAAAACTGAAGCTGAAAAAACTGAGGTCAAACAGTAAAATGAAGCAGTGCTTATAAAATATAAACCAAGATTCTGTTACTGCGTTGCCTATTTCTTGCCTCAAATGACTGTTACCAGCTGGCCGCCATTTTGTTTCCTGTGTCAAAACAGCCAAACTTGCATTACATCACTCATCAGTGGGAGCGTTTATTGGTCTGGTGCATGCTGTGCATTCTGGTAGTTGCAGGTGTTTTATCTCTTGAGTAAAAGCACATGCCACAGCCCTTTATCTTTGTTTTCTTTGGTCACATAGCACCAACTGCGTCTTCCTGCTTCATGGACAGCCTTCTTTCCATTGGTGAAATAAGTATTTCGCATCATTTTCCACTATAATATCAACACACTATTGCAAACAGTTGGTCATTGCTCAAATACGCACACAATTCAGTGAAGCACATCAGTTACTCTAAGTAATACACCTCTGTCATCATGGTAAGTATCATTCCACACAAGCTGCCTTGAGAGTCTTAAAGCTTTCCTCAAGCAGCTTTAATTTATCAGCAGCAAACAATGGTTCTAGTTGCTGCTTGTTTAAAATGTGGCAGTACAGGTTGTTTCAGTGCAAGAAGGATATTTGCTTGACATCTTCATGACCTGGCTCTCGGCAGATGTTGAAACAAGCTGCTGCAAGACTGTTGCATTTTGCAAAGTAGCTTTAAGGCAACCCCATCTGATTCTTACAAGGAACACTGCATTTTACTAAAGCTGAAATCTACAATTACTTTTAGAAAGTTTTGACAGTATTACTGTACTGCAAAACACACTGTATACACGACATTTCCAACATGCTGCCCCGGTGAAAGCACGGTTAGTTTTCGACCTATAGCAACCTCGAAAGTATGGCTTAAAGGTTATAATGAGATTACGGTCTGCAGATATCTATAAGCACTGCCTGCCCGGGTCCAACTGAATTAGTACTGCAACAGGAAGAAAGGGCCTCTCTGTGTTAGTTGCTTTAGTTTCCATGCTCCTCTGTTAACTCAGCAGTATGCTAACCCTACTGTCAACCCCTTTCACTGTTTTCCACTCACAACAACACTACCTCTGTACACAGACACCACAAGTGCATGAGCACAGTACCGTGTTCAAAGTATTTATGTATGTAAATTGCCTTTTCTGTTACATGTGCACAAAGCAGAGAAGCAGATTGCATGACAATCGAGAGATATAATAAAGATAAAATGTGTCGTGTGCAGGCCTCTTTTAAAATGAGGGTGTGATTTGTATAACTGGCCTGAGGACTGGATTAGGAACGATATGTCGGCTCGGTGCTATTACAGGATACTGTCAACCTATGTGAATCCTGTTATCAGATCAGTTATTATCTCCTTGCTCTTCTCTAGTTTTGTGTGTTGTGGCGACAGTACAGCCATTCAGAAAGAGCTTTAGATTACTGCCGTGATAACTTTTTGATTCAGTGGTAACTTTGCCCTTATCTTCCACAAGTCTCATGTTGAAACTCTGCTGTGTGTCCCTTTGTTTTGATCTTAGGTAAGTGCGTGAAGGTCCAGAGGAAGCAGGGTCTGGTATCAGGCTCAGATAGCAGCAACAAGCACTCCCCCAGCAACAAGAGGAGCCTGGTTCCCAGCCCTGTGGCACACCGACCCTTGAGAGATCGCATCATTCATCTCCTGGCCTTAAAGCCCTACAGGAAACCTGAGCTGCTACTGTGGTTGGAGAGGGAGCGGGCCAGTCCAAAGGACAAGGCTGACCTGACCTCAGTACTGGATGAGGTGAGACATCTGGCACATTACGTAACCACAGTTGACTAATGATGAAATATACTCAGATGTTAAGTAAAAGAAAACACCAACAATGTTGAGTGTTATAAATAGAAATTTAGCTGCTTTTAGTGTCAGGTGATATCAGATCAGAGACTGAAACTACAAACATAAATTAGTCCCTAACTTGCAGTTTTGCCAATAATACTAATGAACCGCTGCACAGCTATAAAAAGGTGATGTCAGTAAGTTTATTTCAGGCATACTTCCTGTGTTCACAATGTTTGAGTGTCCCACTGCAATCATCAAGTGGAGACTGTGCCGCTGCTGGTAGCTGTAATTAGGGCTGTACTTTAATTATCTTTGGAGGAGAAGATTGTGTTTTGACAGGAGAGGGGTGGGGCGTCTCCAGCTGGGATCTGACTGCTTTCAGAATTGAAAGTGGTTGGTTTGTCTAGATTTGTATCAGCAGGATTATGTTGTATAAGGGCAGGGTTAAACTGTTTACCGCAGAAACAATAGGGACCCACTGAGTAGCACACAGGTCTTTTATTTAAATATGAGGTGGGGTTACGGCATTGCAGGTTAGCACAGTACGGTGCTTGTACACCTCAGCTGGCCTCTTTTCCTGTCGTACCCAGTGCTCTGTCTGTTGATTTATTTACACTGGGAACTGTCTGTTTTTCAGGTTGGTAAACTGAACTCTAAAGACCACAGCTACTCTCTGAAGGATGAGCTCTACAGACACGTCCAGAGAGACTGGCCGGGATATTTAGAGGAGGAGAAGCAACTCATCCACAGGCTCTTGATTAGGTGGGAACTAAGTTAGACATACGCATATACAAGTGAGAGAACTGCAATTGTGTAACAAAATCCTCTGTTTAAAGCAACAGTTCAACATTGTGGGAAATATGTTAGATGAAAAGATCGATACTGTATTGTCTGAACTAAAGAAAAAGGAACTGCCAGCAGCCTGTTAGCTTAGCTTAGCATAAAGACTGGAAACAGGGGAACTAACTAGCCTGGCTCTGCAAAATTAACCCTCCAGCACCTCTAAAGCCTGCACTTTATATCTTGTTTGTTTAATCCATATAAAAAGCAAACCCAAGAGGTGCCGACAGAAAACTTTATTGCCTTCAGACAGAGACAGTCTCTCTGCTTAGCTAAGCTAATCATCTGTTGGCTGTAGCCTAAAGGCCTATACCAAACCTACATCAAAGAACTAGTGTTGACCAAGGCTGACTGTTGCATCGCCTCATTTCGCCTGTGTCTCGGTCAAAAAGTTTGACTTAAACACACCGCAAAGCCTACAGCCGACGGCCAAGTAGCACGTATGTCCTGCGCCTGCGTGAAAGGAAATAACTCTCCATACCAGCACGTGGCAGTAGTCTGTATTCGTAATTCAAAAAGGGAAACCAGAAGACCGGCAGCACAGATTCAAGACGCTTGTTAGCGAGTTAGCTCATTAACAACACAACCCAGTGTTGAAAGAACAAAGGATATTCACAACACGCTAGTGAACAATAGTGCAAACAGTTACAAACCGTGTCTGCTACAGAGCTCAATGGCTAACATCATAATCACACCTAATATAACAAGTTTATTTCAATGTCATATTCTCTTGACTTTAGTCGTTTGTTTGCTTTCCCCACTTCCGTTTCACATCTCGTGTGCTGAGCAGAACTGCGAGTAAGTGATTCTGTTTCTGATGCTGATTCAACATGCTAAATCAACCGAAAAAAAGCTGACAAGGGCTGACAAGAACCAACTAGTGCCAACGGTGTGGGAAACACCGCCAAAACTAGGGCGACAGGCGCTTTCTGATGATCCAGCATTGACCAACGGCTGACCGTCGGCTTGGTGTGTCAGGGCCCTTATATTCACTGTAGACACGTTAGAGTAATGTGTATCTTTTCATCTAACTGTCTGCAAGAAAGCAAATAAGTGTATTTCCCAAATTGAATTAACTGTTGCTCTAAAGATTTTTTTTTTTTAGACTTTTAGAGACCCGGCAAAAGACTAAGGGATGGATGCGTTTTGACATTGCTGGCATTGATACAGAAAGGCCACTGAATTAATGTAGAAGTCTGCTGTGATCATGTTGAAAGGGGAGCTTCTAAATGACTACTGCTCTGCACTGATGAATCTCTTAATGGACACATCAAAGCGGAGGAAAATATTCCCTGCACCGTGTTGCCAAATGGCATTAGCATGGAAGGTTCAGAGCAACAAGGCTGAACTTTTCAGGGTGAGCTTCCTCCCCACGTACGTTTCCTCTGCCTGCCAGTAAACATGCAGGCCATGTACTTCGTGAGCGTTTTGGAAAAAGCTCAAGTCCTGTTGGCTGATTGCACAACCCCCTCTGTTCACCACCCCTGCTAAGTGTAAAAAGCTTACAATTGTAGTCATCAAATTGTTTGCCAAGTGTGATAAAACTGTGATAGCCTGTAAATACTGTAAACTCCAGATTTCTTTGCTGTAGTCCATTCAGTGGCAGGAGTAGATTCTTCTTATTCAGGCTTCCTTACTTGTGTCACTTCATTGACTTTAATGTTTAATTGTTGACTCCACTCACACTGACCAACTGATTAAAAAGGTTGCAAGAATCCACTTGGGGGGTGTGGCTTGTTTTAGAGTCTGTTTGAGGAAGGAGCTGTAGGAAGCAGATTAACAGAAGAGGGTTTGGTCCTACAGAGGTTAAATCTGCTGCTATTGTTCTGCTCACTGGACTGTGTTTAGTCTTTGTGCTTGCCTCCTGTAGATTGCACCACCAGAGATACAAAACAAAACATACCACATGAATGTATAAAAAGCTTTGATAACATGTTTAAATGATTGACAGTTTTACAATATCAATGATTATTATTTCTTCTGTGAAAAACTGCTCCCGCTTACTTCTCTGGAAGCTGTGTTGTAATAAATGATAATTGCTCATCCACTTGCTCATGAATCTGCCAATGCAAGCTTTGTGACCTACATACTGCCTCTTCCTATTTAGCCTCACAGTCCATTTACCTTGCGGTTACTATCAAGCTGAAGGTGCTGTGCTCTCAATCTTTCTCCAGGAAACTTCAGCCACTCCACAGTAGCCAGTTGAAGAGTCCCCAATCCAACCATTCATTCCACAAAACTCCCGGGGACTCTCCAGCACATCTCAGTCCTGCCAAGAATCTCTCTGTGGTAATTATTCACCTTGAATGAATTCCTGTTCTGGTACTTCTTCTTTCTTATAAGACTGAGAATAGATAGGGTACTTCCTCTTCTGCAGATACACGTTACTGGAAATAATAAATTGCTATATGTTTAGGTAGTTACTTTAAGTAGCTTCAGACTAAATATAACCATGACTAGAATTAAAGGATTAATTAGACAGTTGGGAAATAAGGTTCTCTGCATTCCTCTCAAGGGTGAGATGAGAATATTTACAACACTGTCACATCATGTACAGTAAATATGTATGTAGCTTAAAATGTTACGTGCTGGACTTTATATTGGCAGGGATCAGTTGTCAACTTCCAACGCAGACACCATGAAATAGCTCGGCACATAACCCCCCCGATAAAAGGGTGAATTGCTTTTTTTGCACTACTGTTTTCTGTGGATTATACAAATGAGATATAACCATGTGAGCTGTTGTTACCTGTGGACAGAGCAAAGCTAGCTGTTTCCAGTCTTTATGTTAGGCTAACAGACACCTCGCTGTAGCTTCATATTTACAGCTCTGATAGGAGAGTGGTGTCAATGATCTCCTTTAACTCTCAGCAAAAACCCAAATAAACACATTTTCCAGAATGTCAGACCATCCCTTTGAAGTCAAGGCCTTCAACGGTGGATCTGCAACCCCTAGGGGAGTCCTCAGGTTACTGCAGAGGAACCGCCAAATTATTGTCAGATAACTTAAGTTGTTTTGTTTTTCCTTAAAAAATACAAAATGTCTGAAAATGAACATAAATCCCAAAAATAGTTTGCAAAGATAAATCAGCCTATGCATTAAAAATTAATCATGCAGTTGTGAGCTAGTTAATGCTAAATCACTGTGTGGCACTTGTCCATAATGGCGAGGCAAACCAGTTAGCTAACATTTATGTACTATTGAAACATATCGGCAGTTTTGCTGTTTTTTTATTCCAAGTGTACGGACATTCTTGTGAGCCAAAATAAATAATTTGGTAACCTTTCGAGCAGAAGACTCCGACATAACCGTCCACCTCAGAAACCACCAGCGAAAGTGCAAAGGGTGAGGCTAATGCACCTAGTCATGCTTAGCAGCTACAGGCAAGCGCAAACAAGAGAAGACCCCAAAATATCCAGAGAACTATCTCAAGTGCAACTTGTATATGTAGTTAGGGTCCCTGCTCTGTCTCTCTTTGAGCTGAGGGGTAACTATCTATCTATTTATGCAGATAATAGAGGCACTTTTGGCACGTTTCATACATTTTGCACTCTAATATCCAAAAGTTAAGGCGAATCACTCACTGTTCTCTTTTTCCCCCTCTAGAAACGCCCGTTGCCCTCGGACCCTTCCAACTTTCAGACCCCTAAAAAACAAAGACTATTAGACCAGTGTTTGCCTCAGCAGTCACCGTCTCATGGAGACTGTGGCACCAACGGTCGCAGCTCCTCCAGTCTTGGAAACTCTAGAGTACAGATCAAACTGGAGTTTGACAAAACCAACAATCATCTCCAGGGGAGCCCACATGGTCTGTACTCACCGCACAAACTCACTGGGTCATCTACTGTTCCCAAACTGGAGAGCACGGAGCCAGCTCCTACTGCACCCAGCCCTAAGCCGCCACACACTGACACATCCATTTGCACTGACCAACCTTTCACCAATGGCCAACACAAGAAGAAGAGGTCCAAGAAGCACAAAGACAAAGAACGAGAGCGCTTAAAACCAGACTGGATTGAGACAAGTCCAGACTTGAAGCAGAACAGAGAAAATCTCAAAGGTAAACGGCCATAAAACTGTCTTCTCTGTGAGGTTTCATCACACTTTATGTAACCTATTGTGCTGTCATGAGCCTGTTCTATATTATACGCTCAGGTCATAACATTATCAGTTTTCATTTAACAAAAAGAAAACCTCAGGGTTGAGTTAGAGTTACTGCTGGAGGCCCACAAGGAGCAATTCATATATTTTCATTTGAGAGAGCAGTGAGTGTTCGGACTGTAGCACGTTCTCCGCCCTCCAGTCCCCACTCCTCGCTCTAGTCTGTTGATGATTGACTGTGAAACAGCTGGGTGACCTACGGTCGAGCGAGTCAGCAGGCAGCGTTGCCTCCTACTGTGGGCTGCTGACGTCACTGCTCGCCTTGGATCAGATCTCTTATCGGAGAAAGTGATAAATTATCCCATCGGCTTTGATATGATGTGCACATTATCGCATTTGCATTGGCAGATTGCTTTAACCTTTTTTTCCAATATGTGTGTGTGTGTGTTTTTCCGATCTGCAGACCATGAGGGAGAGAAAACACCTGTCAATCGAACCTCAGCAGAGGAACTGCCTGACTATTTAATGTAAGATTCAAACATACTCTGCTCCTGACTGTGCTTATGTGTTATAAACCCAGATCCAGAAGGGATTTATGATTCAGAAATGAAATCCAAACAATCAGTGTGTCCTCATAAGTCTTTGTTGATATCATCTGTCAAAGAGAAGTTTAGGTTTCACACTGTTGTTGAGAAAAGAAACCAGCTTGTCCCCAAAGAGTTCAGACCAGCTTCAAAAAATTCACATAAACAGAGGGAAGTAAAACACATGTCTAAATGAGCTGTCACAAAGCTTCCCTGAAGCAAACACATGATCTTATGTCTTACATTTATACATCTGGTCAACACATCATGCTGTTAAATCAGTGACGTGTCAGGCCTCTCACTCCACTGTTCTGCAGTGACATCTAGTGGAAGGAATTGATAAGACCTTGCTTTTAAAAAAAGGCCACTTCTGCTTTTAAATAACATCTTGTTTATGTTTTCTTTTTTTTATCTCAGAAAATACAGCACCATAACAGCACTGGAGCAGCGTCAACAGTATAAGGACGACTTCTGTGCCGAGTACGATGAATACAGAGCTCTTCATGACCGGATTGGGGCTATCACAGAGATGTTTGTTCAGTTGGGCTCAAAGATCAACACTCTCTCCCCGGGAACACAAGAGTACAAGGTACTGTCTGCACGAGTAGCCTTTAACTGCTCTGTTTCTCATCAAACAATGACCTGATCAGATACACAACACCCTAACACTTTTTCTTTTCTTTTTTTTCAGCTTATGGAGGACCAAATACTACAAAAGTACAAAAAGTATAAGAAAGTAAGAATTGATTTTTATCTTATGTCATATAACAACTCTAGCTCTACACACTGGGCCTCATGCACGAACCATTCATGAACATATTCATTCTTAAGTGGCATTTAATAGAACATGTTGCATTTAGTAATTCAAAATAATTAAAATAAAAGTAAAATCAATATTCTGTTCACCTCATCAGTGTGATGTGCATCATGACTTACCGATTAATATAGAGGTTAGACATCTTTTTCCTTTCACATTTTTTTTTTGGCATTGGAGTATTTTGGATCAACCATTCACACAGCTCAGCAGTTGCTCGGAAAATTCTGCCCCAGTTAAGTTTAGTTTGTACAGATTGCCGTCTAGGGGAACATTTTCCATCAAAGCACCTGACAGTTTAACATCACCTGAGATCAAATTGTCCTCTATCGTGTCATGCTGTCTGGACCACCTCCCATGTTAGTCATGGACTGTTTTGCTTTAGAAAGACATATGACATCTGACCTCATGTAAACCCACTCCTTTTCATTTCTGAGATGCAGTGGCGCCATCAAGTGGTGGCTAGAGGACGCCACAGCCACCCTGACATTTGCTTTTGGTGTGCCACCCCAAGATTTTCAGTTGCCCTTTCTGGCCACCCCTATGGAAAATTTCAGGGGTGTCACTGCCTCATATTACTAGCCAAATTTGTTTGTTTTTTGTCACATTAGGGAAGGAATAGAAAATTGTTCTTGCATGACGCCCATCATGTTGGTTGTTACTGTTACTGAAAGCTCACCCATGCTCCTTCTTGTCTTTTCAGAAGTTTCCTGGATATCGGGAAGAGAAGAAGCGATGCGAGTACCTCCATCTCAAACTGTCGCATATCAAAGGCCTGATCACACATTACGACCAAGCGCAGGGACTCTCATAGTAACCTGCCTCTGCCCTCAGCAGGGTGTAACAAAACTGGACCAAAAGACTCCTGATGGACCCAAAGACTGCCCAGCTGAGTCCTGGAGTCGCTGAGACACTAATCACTTTACTCCTCCGAGTGTTAATGGAATTGAGGAGCGAGGTTATTTTTTTCAAAAGTGGGCTGAGACCACCGACTTGTGATCAAATGTTGCCCTTTAAAGTTATGGGTTTCGACTATGATTATCGCTGTAATGGCTGGATTCTGTTCTGCTGTAAAATCGTCCGATGACATAGTGAAAGCCAAATCCATTTCTCTGAAATGCAAAGCAGATGTGATCCTTTCTGCTGTATTGCATTTTTATTCTATCCTTTATCTTATCAGAACTTAAAAAAACATTGATTTATTTAAAAAAAGTATTAAATTGATGGTACAATCAATCTTAACGGGAAACAAATGCTACTTAAGTCTTTATATTTAACATACAGAGGAATCTGTTTATTTGCTCTTTACTGATAGAACATAAACGTATTCAGTCACAACAATTAATCATTAGTTGCAGTAATGACGATAATAAAGTCACACCAATAATTTGTTATCATGGTCTTCAGACCACATGCATACAAAATTTTATCATCCCTACAAAGCCTATATTTCTGCAGAACGAAGACCCTACAGAGGTGCATCTCAGTGTATCACTAAAATGATCCCAAAATGAAGTTTAAAACATTATACACAAGGTTATTTTGGCTTTCATTATAAAGAATTTTACCATGTAGCTTTCTGCCAACGTCCTGTGTCATTTCTAAATAGTGTTGGAATGCCACAAAACCACTCCTCCCAGTACCCGGATGCTGGTTTCAAGATAGTGCTGGTGCACATTTAGTGTCAACTTCACCCACATGTAGCCTACCACCAACTGCCTTTTCATTATCAGCTCTCTCAAGTCCTCTGGTTACAGGTTTGTTTACTGATTCACAGTAATCACGCTTTATTTACGCTGTAGATGAATGACGACAAGTCGCTCCATGAAACTTTTCCTTTTACATGCAGTTTTAAAAGCTTACAGGGTTGTTAATCAAGCTCGTCTACACATTTTTGATTCACTATGATTTTGCTTTGGTTGAAGTCTTGAGATAGATTGCGATAGAGATGCCTTTAACAAACTGGACTGTGGAATTTTTAGTCCCACGTGTGAAGGATGGCGCTCTGGGTCAGTCACTCACTTCATACCACTTTGCTTCAGTTATATGTGAGGAGCAGGCAGACCTCTGGAGGGTGCTAACGGGGACTTATTTTAGACTTTCTGGAAACATCTGAATAACCACAAACTGTCATTTTATTTCACCTTATGATTAGCTGTAGCCTGAAGCAGGAAATAGTGATCCGATTTCAATGTTCTCTGGATGTTTGCATCAGCTTAGCTGTACTCACAACTGTCTCACAACTGTCTTAACGATGGCTTAAAATGGGAGAATGAAGCTAATATTTGCCTTAACGTGTACGTCAGACATTTCCACGATTACGCCATCCCTGTTCTGAAATGATCTTGGTTTAACCTGCACGGTTCAGAGAATTCTCAGACCTTTTCTGTAGATGTCTTTTAGTTTGAAGGAGCAGTTACTGGATAGTTGTTACTGGATCATCGTATCTGTGTTGTTCTTGTTTTTTTCCCATATTTGTCTTAATCATTTTCAGTTTTAGCTTCATTTGTTGTCTCATAATACGTTGGATAATCATGAACTGTAAAGGAATTTGATTCACTGTCTAATCCTATCAAGCACCCCTATCAGAAGAAAGAATAATTGCAGAAATCTATACACAATAATGCGCTTTGCTTCTCTTGGTTTCTCAATGAAAATGCTCAGTGGGCTTATCATCACATATTTATCAGCTCTTATACTTAAGTTTAACATATGTTTTTCTAACATTTGGTAGGTAACTTCTGGTATGTTTGAAGGATTTGAGACTAGCAACAGTTGCTCTGTCTTGGCACATATGAACGTTTCCAAGAAAGGAATATTTATTAGCACTGACTATTGGGAAAATGAGAATTGTAAGCCCAGATTTTGAGCAGTAAATATCATTAAAGGTAAAAATGTTGGACTCTTAAAGCTCTGGTACACCTACAGAAATGTTTTGGGTTTCAGATCTTATACTCTAATGATTCTTCTGTCAGTATGTATTTTAATGGGCTAAGCTAATGTGCCACGTAGCTCCACCCAATGTGAGAAAATGTCTGATCACTCAAAATGATTGAAAACAACTGTTTTGCTCTGGTACTGGATCTGGAAATCAATGAGGCATGGTTCAATTATATTAAAAGACAAGAGCACAATGCCCACTCAGACGTATAACATAATTTATTTGTGTTTTACAGAATATCTCATTCAAAACAGAAAGGTACTGAAACAGTGTTTTAACGATGGCGGGATGGAAACATCCACATTTAGACACCATTTAGACCTTAAAAGTAATCGTTTACAGAACTAATTCAAGTTAAGGGCTTCCCGTTTACCACTAATGTAGTATTGATCAACTGTACAAGAGGTATGTAATCAAACAAACTGCATCACGGTCAAAATATCAGTCTAATCAGTATGAATGAAGATAATTGTACCATACATGTCAATGTGTTGTTTTTGGGAAACCAGACCCTTGGTGAACAGGGCCTCTCAAGTGCTAACTGTGATTTTTGTTTTACTGTTGCAGGAGCGAACTACTGATGGTGCCTTTCTCATTTAAAGAGCAGAGTCACTCTGCGTGTAGCGATCATTGGTATTATGGAGAAAAAATTAAAAAAAAAACTTGGGCCAGCAGTATTTTCACATCTGTAGTTTCACACTGTTGCCACTGCTCAAAGTGCTTTGTTCAGAATCTTTTGGATTAAGTTGATATCAGATGCCTTGTTAAATGTATCAAGTGTATCGGCACTGACATTTTTCCAGACGTGAGAATTCGGCATTTTAAAAATACAGTTTTCCAGGACACCAATCAAACTGCATCTAATGTTGACTGTTTGCATTCATGTATATTTGAAAGAATGGCCTGGATTTTGTTTTCATCTGTATGTGCCGCCCAGCAAACTGTTTCTACAAATTTAATACTGCTGCCTGTTATTTGTTGGTACTGGAAAAAACGATGCCACAGTGGAAATGTGAAATCAAACATTTTGCCTGTTATGAATCACTGCGATTGATCTACGTAGGAGAACAAATTTCTTTATTTATTGCTTTCTATGTGTTTGTCCTTTTCTGGGATTCATCTTTGCATTGTTTGTTCGTTCTTTTCACAGCAAAACTCAAAGTATGGTGAAAGGGAAATGGAGTATATTTTTGCAATTTTTGATGGTGGATGCTTTATCACAATGTCATCCTCTTGAGAAAAGCTTTCAGAAAAAAAAATGTATTGTTGTCTCAGTATAAATGAAAAATAAAGCTCTTTTCAATTCAGCAAAGCATTGTGTTTCCCCCAAGAGGGCAGTGTTACTCTATTTCTGAACTGAACCACAGCTGTTTTCCATTCAGCACCACTCAATTTATGACTAACATTAAAATACAAAACATGCAGTTTTTAAAAACAATTTTATGTTTATTTCATGTTTTTATTATCTTTTTGATCAACTGTGACAGTGAAAACAGTACGTCATCAGAACTAAATGATGTGATAATAAAAGCATGTGCACTCGCAGCTTTACACTTAATATTTCACATTATTGCATAGATGAATTTGGAGTTTTTTTTAACTTATCCAAGCACACTTGTTTTGTCTGTCACAAAGATAAAAAGCATACATATACAAGCATACAATTTCTAGACAATATATTAATAATTTAATTGTAATCACATTATCGTGGGTGTCTTTTATCACAATACGCATATTTTTTTTTGTTCTAAATCATTTCTTTAAATGAACACACCATATAATCTGACAGTCAAAGCCCAGAATAGCAGAATGAAACATAAATAGCAGGTACAATGAAAGGGCTTTTTCAAGGAAGACATTTTAACTTGTCACAGCAGGGAAAGCACAGAATTAAAGGGTTCTTGTATAGTGAATGTTCCCTCACCATCACTCTCAATGGGGCGCTTGAAAAGAGCAGAGCCATCATGTTATTAGTAACATTTTCTCCAATGACAAGTCAAAAACTACCCGAAAATCTCTCAGCTGCTTTTTCCCCTCTGAAAGCACTTTGGGCTGAGAAGCAGCTTATTCATCACTTGAATCAAAGAGGTAAAATTTTTAGCAGCATCTTGTTACAAAACTGAGTGCAGAGACAGACAGGGAAATACCTGAGGAATACCTCACCCACAAAATGATCATTTGTATATATCACTGAGTCATAACGTGTTACACTCAGTTCTTTTTTTAAGATTATTTTTTTTGGGCCTTTAATATACAGGACATTGTGAAATGGGGAGACAGAGAGAGTGGGGGGACGACATGCAGCAAAGGGTTACAAGCCGGAGTCGAACTCGCGACCACTGCAGCGAGGCATCACCTCTATACATGGGGCGCCAGCACTATCCACTAAGCTACCAACGCCCCATTACACTGAGTTCTTAAAGAAAGCTTTGTTTCTCTTGCATGTCTCCATGGAAAACAGTGAACATATTGATTTATGATTAATTGGGGACCACATTTAACAACAGCAAAATTATATCAAAGTATTCATTTACAAACTGTCACACAACTCGTGCAGTGAAATGCAAGTCTCATTTATCCAGCTGTCGATCAGCACTTTCCAAACACATGCATTTTCGCTAAAACATCTGGCTTTGAAAAGAGCATAGATAAGTTTCAATTTCAGTAAAGGCCTTTGCACACTGAGTCAGATTTTCTCACCCGAAATTGTCGAACTTCTAAAAATAAATACAAGCTCACAGTGTGTCAATTGTGTTTGCACATCGAGTCCAAAACTTTCATCTGTCATTAAAATTTTCTGAACAGATTTGATTTTGAGTGTTTTTCCACATCCGTCAGAAGCCTTTAGAGACGTCTGACCAAGAATCAGATGTGGCGGTGGGACACAGCTGCGACAAGACAGATAAACGGGGTGCCCAGCAGCATGTCATAACTACAGACAGCTACTTTCAACAGGCCAGATAGTAATGTTCAGGTGGATGATGATGATGATGATGATGATGAAAAGGAGGATGTGGATCGCACAAAGAATGCGGAGACAGACAGGGAGCACAGCTTCGCCCCTTCATGCAGCTGCGGCACCAAATGCGAGACAGGAGGGGAGTGATGACAGCCAGACAGGTAACTCCAGTGGAGAGAGAGAGAGGAAAGGAGTGTCTTTTCACCTTGTCACGTATTGTGAATTTTCACACCAAACATAGCAATAAAATGCAAGGTTTCTGTGTGTAACAATTTTTTTTGGATGACGGGTTAAAAAGAAAACAACTCAGTGTGCAAAGGCCTTAGCATACGACAGGATAAGGGAGACTTGGATTATGATGCATGTTTTGTTGTAGTTTTGCTGTTGTTAAACGTGGTCCCCAATCAATCACAAATTCATATGTTTGCCGTTTTCCGTGGAGGCATTCAAGAAGTTTTCTTCACTAACTCAGGGTAACACAACATGACTGACTGATTTACAAAAGGTCATTTTGTGTGTTAAGCATTCCTTTAAAGTAGCGACGCCACTCAGATTAAGATCTTACTGTTTTTAAGAGATAGGTGCAAAAGCAAGTGCAAACAACAAAGGAGCCCTTATTTTTCAAGTACAGTAGTCACAAAGCTGTCTGCTGGTGTTATATGTAGTGTTGGAGAAGACAGAAATGCACACAGGTTTAGATGTGCCTCTTTTAAGTTACAAAAAAATTAACAAGGCTTCTATGTAAACTTGATTTTCTCCCTTTAAAACCAGTGTTCTGAACTTTAACTGGTCCCCATTTAATGTGAGGTCATTTTGTGTCTCAAAAATATGATGCAATCAGTTCAATCAATCAGTCAATCAACAATCTGTTACAAAACAATCAAATCCAATCATGGCTTCAGTGATTGCTGACCTGAGGTGTAAAATATACAGGCTATTCTAACAAAGATGTGCCCGTGATATGTTCCCTAATCTCACTTTGCACCAGGTTGACCTCAGTCCATCACAACAGCTCCAGGTAGATGACAGTACATCACCCCTACCCTTATCCTCATGGTTTGAGTTTTAACACGGGCTGTGTGAGGGTCACAATCCCAATCACGGAGGAAATCAAACCACAAAATCCCACCACTCCTGCATTCGACTGGTATATACCCAGCCTGTCTAGGGGAATGAAGAGATCGCATATATTTTTCAGCATGTCCAAGGCAACAGCAGGATGTGATTTCAGGCTCTCCCACAGCAGAAAGAGAACAGCATCCAGCTGAGGGATGACAGCTTCAGCCACTTCAGGACTCTCATTGAGATGCAGCTCCATTTTCTGTCTAAAATGTTTATCTCTCGCTCTCTCTGCCATCAACCGCAGAACCACGTAAACATCTCTGGTCAGACTCATAACTAGCGAGAGGAAGTAGAAGCGGGAGGAGTTTACGCTCCAGCGTTCCTTGTCGATATTGCGGATAAGACCGACACTTCTGGCCCAAAGTACATTGTCACAGATAAAGTAGAGGGCGCGACTCACATTGGCTGCGGTGAGGCACAGGCACAGCACTCGGTCAGAGAGTCGCATGGTTCGCTTAGCTGCCTCAATGGAATTTATTGTGTTTCCCAGCCTGAACACTGACAAAGGAGGAAGAGAAAAAGGATATTAGAGCAGTGATCAATTTAATATGAAATGTCAGGTCAACATTTCATAGTAGCAATCTGCTATGGAGAGTATAATACAATTAAGCTACATTTAAACCAAACTACAAAGAACTACTGTCTATCATCTTATCAATTCATCCCTCTGAGGGGAAGAGGTCATGGTCTCCAATCACTCAGTGTCTTTTACTGTGATGGCACCTATTCTAGCCGAGGCTCTTGCGTGCATTTGTTGCGTTACAAGCCTTTCAGCATGTTACTGACATTGTTCACAAGCCACTACCACAGGTAAATTCGCCTCTCACAAGCTCTATTTAATTGTGCCACCTGCATGTCTCCTTTATCCACTATTACCAAAGCCAGACAGACCAGGCATAGCGGCAGGGGAGCCCTGTGGCTGCAGCTCTGATGCACTGAGAGATAATTAACCGGTGCACGAACAGAGCCTGGCCTGGTTCTCTTCGGCTCTGAAAGGGATAAGGTCTCTCTTGCCTGGCCCTGCTCAAGGGCTTTGCCCTGTCCTCCATTTCCATGTCGAGCTTGTGTTACGTCAATCGCTGAAAGATTTTAATTCATATCAAAACCCGCAGAGTGTTGTAGAAGAGGTGAAATATGGGGAGAGTCTGAGAATTCAACAATCCGCATTTAATGAAAAATGGGAAAAGTGGACCGCTTATTAAGCCCAGCAAAAAAGTACCACTAGAGGCTCTGTGTAAAGAAGTGTACCAGTGTTGTGCACCTCACTGATACAAATGTTTGTCCTGAAATATTTAAAAGGAAAAGCAATAAAATTGAGCCGGAGGGAGTCAAAGTTCAAAAAAGTTTCAGTCCAGGTTATAAAGTAAACCTACTAGCTGTCAAGGCCACTCAAAGGGTCATCAGTGTTATAGTCACAGTATGTGCTGGTCCATGTGTCGGTACACAGTGCAGTCAGCCACACAATGTCTATCTCAACTCACACTGGAGGAAAAGCTACAGACGTCAACACAGCATCAAACAGCCATTAGTCTGATCTGAGCCCATGGAATGAGAGCATAGAGATGCCAAAGGGAAGTGAACTTGTTAAACGTTCAGTGCAATTTGTACTGCATGTCTACAGAGCACAAACAAACATGACCACGGCACTCTTTTTGGAACATGAACATGAAGAGAATAAAGGCGTCGCTGTAAATGCCAAACAACAAACATGAAACATGCCAAATTTAATTAAACGTTCAGATTGAGCATCTTGTTAACCTCACAATGTGTCTTAGCAAAATGGTTATATACAAATTTGTTTTTAAGCCAGTATGTAGGCACGTCTTGTGGTTTAAAAACTTTCGGATTGTGTCCACATCGAAAGAAAAGCAAGCAAAATACTGTTGATGCTGATTTGACGATGGCATGTCGGTGTTACCACAGTGTTTTATACCAGTGGTGGGCAACCTCCCCTGAAATACAGACCACCTTCCCGAACATTATTTAAAAAATGAAAACTATTCAGTAAAATATAACATTTACCTTCAAGGCAAAAGAGCGGAGGTGTCGTTTCACAGCAAAAATGACATAAATGAAAGAAGTGTGTCTCCTGTTAAGGCTGTCATGTGCTAATTTAGCTGAACACAGCAAGACATGTAGAGCCTGGGTGGCTTTCCGCCTCTGCTACACAATTTCCTGAGGTTAACCCACTTACAGCAGTTATCGGTTGGAAGGGTTATAAAACAAAGTCTTGCATTTAGCTAATTTTAGATGCATTTCACTCCGCTAATTATGTAACATTACATTTACGAATGAAAATATTTAAAATGTCACAACTTTAGCTGACTTCTATTGATATACAATCTTACATTACACAAGTCTTTAAACTTTACTTCAAACTTCTTGATTTTTAAAACCATGGACACCAAGTGCCATGCAATAGGTCATTGGTATGTGTTTTTAGAGATAGCAGATAATCATCAAATCTTCAATGGCACTTAGAAACAACAGTTTGGAACATGTTTGTCTTGTTCTTTTCTATCAAAGAAACTTCATTTCCCAAAACAATGGTGGCTGTTTGACAAGTTTTTGTGAAACAGAAGAGGTATTGAATTATTGACAAAAGACCGTCCTTGGCAGAAGCTGGAGAAAAATCAAACAACTTAAGCTGTTATTTGCTGTGACTCAGCGCCTGTCTTGTGGGCAGTCTACAGGTCATCCTAACCTTGTTGACAGATACCATTGTTTTTATAGAGAAAATCTGCAATCTGAAATGGCAATGGAGTGGGAATGTTCATTTCACTGTGATGCAGTAGACCAGTGCTATGATACACTCAATGACAGACTAATTTAATAATGAAAAAGGAAGGCTTTTTGTTTTGTTTGTGCATTCAAGTCTTTCAAACTGATGGTGAATATGTAGGAAGTCAAGTAAACTGAATGCATCTCAGTATTGTGGCTTACAATAATATTTACAAATAGAAGAAAACAGAGAACAGGGAATAATAGTACAGCGAGTTATTATGGCAGATTGTAAAAACAGAGCAAGTGGTTAAATGCACTGTTAGTATTTAAAAAATCCATCTTCTCAAATGCGAGAATTTGCAGTTTTACATAAATATACATGATGTTTAGACTGTTGCTGAAACAAAACAAGCTATTAGAAGACGTTATTAGATCACGTTGGGCTCAGGGAAATTTTAAGGAGCATTTTTCACACATTAGGAAATGATCCATCAAAAAGGGACCAATCCAAATAAAAGTAATGACTATAGCCGCTCATCAGTTTTGATGAATCGTTTCTGAACGTGTGAGAAATGGCCCTTAAGATTCCCCTGAGCCCAACCTGATGTCCTGAAATAGCTCGTTTAGTTTCATCACCAGTCCAAACAACATGTGCAACTCTTAAAGGCCAGCGCGGACCTTTAAATGTCGAAAGCTGGCTCGGCAGGATCAGGACCTGAAAGTTAATTACACCTGCATAAAGATAACCAACAGGTTTTATGCAGATTGGACAGATGCTCATTTATTTTCATCCAAATCTCTGTCGGGCAGCATTTTTTTTTGGCAACACTGTCGCTTCCTATTGATCAATTGCAGAAACATTTTGGGGACATGGTTCAATGACGTTTGGTAATATCTGGACAAACCCTCACTGATTCATGGCCAAATTTTGCGAAAGGCCAGTGCACTGGTATGAAGCTGGTGGCAACCCTATTGAGTGGTTTCAAAATAATTTTACACACGTGGTTCAACATTACTTATTCAACACACCCTGCAAGTTTTGTAATGATTGAACAAACAGATACAGATTTATAGTCTGATTTGTGTCCTGCCACACCCATTTCTGAGTGTGCCATTGGCCGTCTGAAGTTTCTGGCTGGTACTTAATTTTAGAAGTGAACATACTGTACACGAGGACATGCTTGAACGCTAAAACCTCAATGGTAAATTATCAATTGGTATAAACATGAATATTGTTTTTTATATTGTGCTACAACCCTACTCCTCATTTTGTTTGGGACCTCCTGAAACCATCAAACTCAACACAAACTGCTGCCACTGCTGAGTGACCCTCCCTCCCATTACAGTTACAGATATACTCACATTTTCGTCCAGCGCTCATGTTGGTTTCCAGACTTTTAAGTTTCGCCACAAGGTCCTTTCTTTCCGTGTGGTTTCTCAGTAAATATCTCGACAGTGCACAGGCATACTGGGTCGCCCTGGACAGAGAAAGAACACGAAGAGAAAGTAGAAAGTTGACTTTCAATCAAGAGCTCTCCGCCGCACGCGCTGCCATTGTCCCACCTACTAACTTAACTTTTCTAACAATAAAATACAACGTCCTGAATTTACGACCAGGTTTCAAACACTTTAAACGACTCACCTGAATATGCGGTCCCTTCCTTGACTCTGGCTTGTGAAATTCACCACCGCGTCCATGATTAAATCGGACAAGAACAACTTGTTCTAGTAAGCTAGGGCAGAGTTGCACCCTCGGTCAAAGGCGGACCCGGAGAAACGTTAACGTCAGAATGTCGCTGCCGTTGGTACTGTCAGTTACTTCTGTTCAGTTTAAACAACGTTAGTAATGGCTGTCAATCTAACGTTACCGATTAAAACTCAAGCAGATAATCTGAATTTCGAAACTTCTCCCACGTTTACACTAAGCTAATTATCCTATACACATGTAAGCTGAGCGAAGCGTACTTGTTTCACTACGGACAGCTTTGCAAACGGACCAAAAGCCGAACAGGATTTGTTGACGGACCAGCGCGTTGCTATTGGTTACTATGGTAACTTTACATTTTATCGCAGTTAAAATAACTTTACAAACACGCCATAGTAAGAGAAACTTTAATTATTCTAATGAATACACGTAAAATATATATTTTTTAATTTTCAAAGTATTTTTTTAAGATATTATTCTATTATTCTATTCTATTATTATATATAGATATATACGAGATGTCAGTTAGCAAACAATGTAGACTACGCGACAAATACAGTCATTGTAAACTTTCCACAGACGCAGTAAGTCCCCTTAAATGTATCACAGCAATTTTACAGTGACTCTTGGGTTGTTTGAAGAGGAATTTACCTTATTTAAGTGTCGCATGTGTTGACAAAAATATGTAGGCTACCTCAGTTTTTTGTGCCAGTTTTTATACAATTTGATCATTTTTGATGAGAATTTGTCAAACGGACAGTCATTTTTATGTTGTTTCTTTGGGGGGATGTGTGTGATAAATTGACATAAAATCGCAGCAAGCCCCACGGTCCTATTTTGTTACTTGCCCCTTTGTTTCAGGATACTCCTTGCAAAATGTCATACTTGTATGACTATTTATGCCATCATAGTGCCCTAATATTTGCATTTATATCATTTCGCCGGAAACATGTTCCAAAAAGGGGGTTTTGGGCCGAGTTGGGGGTGGTGGTTATCCATTTGTGATGGTTAAGGTAGCCTATAGGCGTACAGGAAATAGTAATGAAAAAAGGGTAGCAGAAAACATCATGAGGGCTGGACCTGGCTCCTGACCTAACAATAAACAAAGTAAAACTACATGCCACATTGCTTTAATCAAGTGTTCACAGCTTAAATGCGTAAATATAGAAAAAAGGAGACCTTGAATGCACTAGGTCTAATAGCTTGCTCCAGGTATATATGTCTTCACATTTAAATAAACACATCGAAGATTGACTGAAATTGCTGTTACTGAAAGGTGAAACGTATAATTAGTATGTTGTTTTTAATTGTTCTTATTACAGAGCCTATGATGATGATTGCAATTAACTACTGCTATTAGCCCACTAAAAAAAAAATCATTTGTCTTAAATTGATTGACAAAGATTCAAAGACCGCTTTCTACAGATGCAGACATCTTGAACTTTTGAGATTATCTGTAATTTCCGTCCATATAACTGCAACACAGTCATTCAGTTTATGTTAATTCATCCCACTTTACCACTGCCAATTCAGCTCCAGCTACACGCCCCCTGTTTTTTTTTTTAGTCAAAAGGCACAGATTAATTGCTGTATGTGACAGGAATGAGTAGCAGGGGAGCAGCATAAAATTTTCATATTTTATGCATAATCTAATATCTGAAAAGAGATTAGTGACAGTTCACATGATTTGAATGAATGAGTCAGGCTGCTCGCTGGAGGCTCACAGCTGGCATGTGGAAAGGTTTGAAGATATGCTTAACTTCACGTGTCATCTCAGTGATGTCTCCTGTGCCCCTGCTTTTTTTTATATTGTAACAAGGGTTAAGTATCACCTGTCAATCAAACATGGAATCTCTTGTTACAGTCAGTTCACGTGATCGGTGGGGAATATGTAAAGGCCATAAATGAGTGATGTTAAATGTTAATCAGAAGAAGGAGGTGTCATAATTTGTCCTGATGTTTATATGCATATTTTTGTTCTTCAAACATTCATCTTAGACAAATTGACATCGTCATGTTGTTACTGTAAGATAACCTCCTTTTCATGTAAAACAAAATCCAGTCAGAATCAAGCCTCAAAATCCTGAAAATGAACCATGAGTTTGGAAATATTTTGGCAATGTCAGCACAAGAGGGCATTTGGGGACCCTCTGTTCTTAAAGGGGTTGTCAAAGACGGGTAGGGTTATCCACATGGTGGGATTTGACAGCCACCCTTAGGAGAAACAGTAACCAGCAGACTTCTGCAAGAATAAAACAGTCTGTTGTCACAGCGGAGCAGTTTTGCAGGCTTCATCCCTTCACTTAGCAGATTTCATCGCTCCTTTTGTGAGGTAGATATTTTAGTCACCGTCATTTTGACTGTCAATGTTTGGCATGTGGTTGGCTGATAACTCAACATTGTAAAGCTGACTAATTAGACACCACATTCAAAAGGCGCTCTGTCACTGGAGGATGTCCAGAGTTAAGGTAATTTCCTGTAACTAAAGAGATAAATCACTTGCACATTTTGTTCAGCACAGCACAAGGCCTCAGTGGCACTCCTTTTCACTGTTCAACACACATTTTTTAAGACTTTAAGACTTGACTAAAGTTAATTTTCTGCAATTCCGACTCAAGACAAGGACACAAAGAGACCAAGAGTGAAAAGAATCATGTACGTAAGCACTTGTGTTGCTCCAGTCTGTCTCAGTTACATTTACATACAGTAAATGTATGCAAATAAACAGGAAGCTACTCATTGTGCAACAACCTTCCTTCCTCCACAATCTACAGCATCATGGGGGAAATGTGATTCTCCTCAGATCTACAGTGAATTTAAGGTTTAGTGAGAAAAGATTCTAGAGCTAGAGAAAATACCAAGAACTGTAAATGTCATCCTGTTTGTTTTTAAAGCAATTTAAAAATACATATTCCTTGACTGTGCCACTGAAATGGCAAATGAGCTCATTCTCCAGAAATGCAGAGGCTGCTCCTGACAATGTGCACGTAGGTGAAATGGTCATTTCTTAATTTGGTGTAAATGGCAACAACAACAGCCAGTCTGGTAAATGTTGCCATCACAAATTATGTAAAGCTTGAATAATGAGTTATTATTTCAAAATTACTGATTGATTAGTCCAATATACACACTGAGTCACAACTACAATATTATCTGATTACTGTAAGGATGATGTTATCTTAAAAATGTGTGCTGTCATTGTTTTGTCTCCATTCTACCACGTCACTTGAGCCTTTGTCATTTTAGCACAAAATGGGAGATGTGTGAGAAGTTCTGTCAATCTCATTGTGAGACTTGGTGAGGCGGACATAATTTGATGCAATACTTAAACAGAATATTGTGGATTGCTAAAATATCGTCTCCACTGTTTGTCCACAGGCAGTGGGTCAGTACAATCTATCCAGATATCCACATATTTATCCCATTATTATGGTTGTCAGGCTTAATGTCGCGTTCCCAAATCCCAGGGGGCTCTTTGTAGATAAGGTCACTCTGTATTGCAATAACAGCTTTACTCATTTCCATAAATATAAAGCCATTGTAGAGGTGGACTGGGCTGGGAACAAGTGACCTTGAAATAATTTCATATGCCTGGCTCCTTTTGATGAACAGTTCCTCATATATAGTATATCTTCAATAATAATTTTCATTATTAACGTCAAATGTATAATTTATTTGAAGCAAACTTAAGAGTATGGCTTTGGACATTTTACATTTCAAGGCTGCTGTTTCTATTACATTTAAATATTGAAAGTAATGCGTACAGTATTTTAGTTGGTGAAAGTGTTTTCCAAAGTTGAAAAGTTTAATAGAAGACGAGATGACTTTCAGAGGTTTTATATGAGCTTCCAGTGCTTGCACTGAAGTGGAAAGGTAATTTTGCAACAGGTTCTCAAGAGGCCATGCAGATATTAGAAATTGAGATATGATGAAAAACAAATGAGCAAGAGGTTTAAAAAGTGAGCTGTCATAACAAATATCGCTGTCCTCAAAATACATCTTCCTGGATGTAATACTCAGTGAAAGAGAAAATCAGATAATAAATACTTAATCTCCCAGTAATATGAGAGGAAACAACATTTAATAATAACAATCAACTGTAGAAATAGCTCCATTTCCTGAAGACTAAACAAATCACTTGATAAAAGCTGTCATATTAGCTGTGGCACAACCACTCCACGCTCAACAGAGAAATTAAATGCCATAGACCGCAGACATTTAGTGGGTAATTGAAATCTGATCAATAACTCGTGTTTATTGAAATTTAATGGTTAAAACTTACTGCTCAAAAGTTCCATCTCAGCTCGACTGTCTCATTGTTAATGAAGTCAATACAGATGATTGCAGCAAAGTGATATGACAACACTGTAATTGGACTATCCTCGTGATTGGAATTGGACCAGCTTACCAAAATAATTGTGCAATCATTTTTGCACACAAAGGCTTTACAGGACTTTAGCTTTAACAAACAGATGCTAAAAAAGTAGCAGCAACTAACTCTGAAAAGTGAGTCTTAAAGGAGAACGACACCTGTTTTCAAAACTCATACATGCTATTCGAGCCCAGTCTCACTCCGAAGTCGAAATCCAGCACTTGGGCAGTGATTTGCAGCATCAGCAACCAACAAAAAAGGCGTCCTTGTGGCATGATATGTGGCCGGTTGCCGTTATAGTCAACACATTCTCACTTCGACCTCGTCACATATTGATGTTTTGGTCATGGACTTTCCACGTCCACATATGACGTGCAAGGTACCCTGGGTGTGTTGGTTGTTGTTCTGGGACACTGTGTCAAGTTCTCTTCTTTCAAAACACATTTTCACAGGAAATTTACCGTTTACATACAGTCTCTTTCAAAATAAACGCACTGTGCCGGTACAACACCATGAATTAACTTAGTTTTGCCTTCAACAACAAACACACATGGTTGGGTTTAGGCGACAAAAACATGTGGATAGGTTCTGGAAAAATGAACAGGGCGAACACCTCTCTTTCAGGTGAAAGTTGGTGTTTGTTGGACTAATCCACCTCTCTTCCTGTGCGCCCCACTCAGACTTTCGCCACCTTATCTTTCGTCCTTGTCCTGCCGTGTTTTCCCCGACGCCGCTGGGTGCCGTTATCATGCTGACATTAAAGGACGTCTTTTTTCGTTGGTTTCTGACACCAAAAGTCACTGCCCAAGTTCCAGATTTTGACGACTTATAGGAGCGAGACCGTGCTCTTATAGTTTAACGATGCCTGGCAGCTTCAGGGAGAAAAGCG